AAACCACCCGCTCCGCATCCAGGCTCCCAGCTCCAAACCAGTTTGGACAGAAAGGGATGGTGGAGCCCACTAGGACGGTGCCCTTCCTCCGCCCAGACGGGACAGGGATGCTCTGGACCGGTCCCAGTGCCCTCCAGACACTGGGTTTGCCCCACCAGCCTGCTGCATCTTTGATGCTTACAGGAAAGTTTTGCTCATCTTGCTTGCTGGGACGAGGACAGCCAGAAACAACTGGGCAGTACCAGCCAGAGCCTTGACAAGCCAGCCTTCACCCCGGGGACGTGCTCCTCGTCCCTGAGCATTTGATGGCCCCTTCCCATCCCAGGCTTGGGAAGGGGGAGCGGTGCTCATTTCCACATCTTGGGCAGCAGCTGGCTGTGGTTCGCAGCCCCTCTCGTGCTGACGGCATCTCTCCCTCCCTGCAGAGCCCCACGAAGGTGTCTTGCAAAGGGCTTGGGCTGCGCAAGTTTCCAAAGGAACTTGGCCAAGGAGTGAAGCACCTCGAGCTCTCCAACAACTTCATCCAAAACCTTTCGGGCAGCCACGTGCCGGGGTTAGGGCAGCTGGAGTACCTGGACCTGTGCTTCAACCGGCTGGAAGCCGTGTCAGCCACCACGCTGGCTCAGCTGCCCCAGCTGCGCTCTCTGCTCCTGCGATCGAACCGCCTGGACCGCAATTACCTCGCTAACGGGCGAGCCTTTCGTTTGCTCAGCAATATAGAGGTCCTGGACCTGTCGGCAAACAACCTGGAGAGCCACATGGCCGGCTGGTACGTCAGAAACCTCACCACGCTGAGGGTGCTCGATCTCTCCGGGAACAAGATGACCAGGCTGCCGGCGGGGATCTTCTGGAGCACGTCACGGCTGCGGGAGCTCGACCTCAGCGACAACTACATCGTGGACATCGAGGAGGGAGCTTTTGAGGCCCTGGAAGAGCTGGAGGTGGTGAACTTGGCTTTGAATTCCCTCCACTGTATCTCTGGCTTCAGCCTCGCGCAGCTGCGAGTTTTAAATCTCAGCCACAACGCCCTGGAGCTCTTCGCCTCGGAGGAGGGGGCAGAGCCGTACCTGCTCCGAGTGCTCGACTTGAGCCATAACAGACTCCTCTATTTTCCAGAGCTCCCGGGAGCCCGTTACCTCACCCATTTAAACCTCTCCAACAACCTGATCGCTTCCCTGCTCCCAGGCTCTCGCGGTCCGGGGGAGTTTGCGCTGCGCTACGAGGAGATGGCGAGGTTTAACGGGACCTCGCGTGCCCCGGCTGCTCTGGCACTCGTAGCTGACTTGGATCTGAGCAACACCCAGCTCCAGCTGTTCCCGCTTGCCTTCTTCCATGGCCTGGGCTCCCTGCACAGCCTCAGCCTGGCCAGGAACTGTCTCCAGGACGTAGCCAGGGAGTCGCCGGCCGGCGGCACGGAGCCCAGCGACCGCTCGCCGGAGCGTGCCGGC